TGTATCAGGAAAGTCATATTCTCCATCTAAAACTGAATCTGCCTGATCTATACGATCCAAATTTCGATTTGGAATTACGGCATTCTGGACACTACGTGGAACCACATAATTAATTTTAATTATAATGTCTTGTTCCACAACAGCGACTTCATCTCTCTGCTTTAATTCTTTACTAGCAAATTCTTTAGTAAACCAGCCAGAGTATCCGTAAAAACCATCAACAGAAAAGTCCTTTACAAAATTCTTATTTTTAATCGATAAAATATTTTGTTCTGATTTTCCAACAATCATATTGTAATTATTCTTTAACCATTCATAATGTTTATCGCGACCTGATTCAGATTTAAGAATAACATTAAATACAATTCTATCACCTTCTGTAGTCTGCTCGACCGAAGTAACCAAAACGAACAAATAAGTTAATACGGAAATAAAGGTAATATATTTTAAAAAATCCATTTCTTTTTCAGAAAGAAAAAATTATCGTGATGATGATTGTTATGTATCTTTTCTATTTTCTAAAAAAAAAATAAAATATAATAAATGAAAGATGAATAAAATAATAGAAGAACGACGAGTAAAACGAACTTCAACATTACAAGTATTTATACATTTTTTGTTACTATCTTTTGTTTAGAAGTTTTATTGGAGACTATTAATTGGAAGTAGAACTATATTTACCATTATTAACAATAATTTATTGGTACTATCTTTTTTAATACCATATTACGAACATCTATTTTGAATATTTGGCCAACAAAATGGTTCAGGATAAATTGAAAATGAAGAAAATTAAAAAAAACCTAAATGTGCTTGCGTGCATACACGTAAATATTTTGATTTTTTAATATCTAGATTTACAATCTAGATTTGTGGTTACGTATCACTTCACAGTAAATTACTTTATAGACATCTGATTTCACAGGCAATCAATTCATAGAAAAGCTTATTTTAAAGATAATTAATTTACAGACGTTCATTTCATAGACAATTCATTTTATCGACAGTTCATTTTAGCTGATTCGGGAGTTATTTGCTATTAATGATTATCTATAAAATGAACTGTCGATAAGGTGAACTGTCTGTAAATTAATTGTCTTAAAACAAATGATAATAATAATTTTCAAAATTCCCGTAGAGCATATTTTTGTTATAATTCATTATAATTACGGCATTGTACTCACATCTAGGGATGGGAACGGCTACAGTTATAGCTGGTTAAAGCCGATATTACGGTCAAAGCACGATTATCTGAATCCTCTGGATTATTTATGTTGCACAATATTAAATTAGAAAAACTTCGGATGATCGAAAATTCGGATTAAATTCGGGCGTCCGTGTTATATTAACCCTAATACATGGACAACCGATTTTTGATCATCCGAAGTACCAGGAACGTAGTGATATTGAAAATTTCACGAAGTGTATGATTATATTGCAAATTAAGTGGTGTATGTCCGCAAAATCTTGTATTTTATTGGAATGTGAATGCATATCAGGAACTTCACAAGTAGTACTTTCTTCTGTATACAGGATCTTCTGCGACGATTTGATCCACACGTGAGTATATATTTATCGCTTTTCTCGCGATCTGTTTCACAATTAAGTTTAAAATCCATATATTCGCGTATTAAAGCAAAATTATACGCATAAGTGCAACTGCAAATGTTAAAACAAATGATATTAAAACATGGCTTTCAGACATAATATCAGTGACCCGATTCAAATTTGAATATCTATTCACAGGATCTTTAGCATTTTTCGTTTTTTTTTTGTAGGATTTTTTACTAGGTTGATGAAATGATAATCACTGTCACCATCGTATGGGAGAGCTTCCATCAATCATACCAAGTTTAACTCCGCGGTTGACGTGCGAAAGGATGCGGGAACTTTAAAAAAATAAGGAACTCGCATTTGGCATTTATTATAGAAAAGAATGTGTTATTTATGTATTCTTTATTTAGGGACAATTACAGAGTGCATACATTGGATACATTAGATAGCGAACTAGATAGTAAACTAAGGGCGAGAACATCCCTTATATACATTCTATTTCTTATAATGTCTATGCTAAGAGTTGACTCACATATGATTTTCCACAGGCAACTCATTCTTTCAAGTTTATGCAAGCGCGTATACGCTCAAAATATGCGTAAACGCGACTAGGAAATTCACATTGGTTAAGCCTAGTAATACGGACCGATGGAAAAATCACGGGTCGAGGCCGGTCCGGGCCGATTTTTTTATGAAAGATTTTGAAAGATATTCGCACTTTAGACATGGATTGGGGGTTATTCAGATTCAATTCAATACTTTTTTCTTTGGCCTTATTAGAGATTCATATTCGATGTTGTCTTATTGTCTACACTCCGAAGATTCCCGGCTGATAATTTCCGGGCCGGCTATTATCATTATTTCTGGGACACCTGAAGAATTTTCAGATGACCGAAATAT